ACGCCGACTTAGGTGGCGTGCCTGCATTTTCGTTTTGGAGAATTATTCAGTGAAAGTGTTTTCAGCTGATCGCCATCACCACTGTCCATGGATGTATTAGCGTCGAACAAGCGACTGCAAATATGGCACGAGTCCAGCGAGCCAATCTCACTGAGGTAAACCGATTTTGCATCTGGAGCTCAGCTTCTAAAGTCAGAAATAACATATAACTTCTATTTAAGAAACACATTCCAATCTATATGGGCGCCACAGAATCACTCATTCGTCGGCCATTCGTGATGAACCCGTTCTTCGGAATCGATGGTATTGGTGATCGTCCAGATCTCTTTCCGGAGGTAATAAAGCGTGTTCAATCCATTTCTCCTTTTCAACTTGGAGACAGAAAGACGCACTTTACTCAGTGAGGGGGCATTTGTCTAATTTCCATCTATCACTGACGGTGTAGAGACCTGTAAGTTCCTGTGAAGTTATGTAGTACAAGGAGCTCTGTACACGCTTGATAAGAGGTAACACCGAGGTGTAATCAAGAGGATACTAGCAAAAGGATCCAGCCAACGTGCAAAATGCCCCTCCCCAGCGTCGTCAGGAGCCGTCCTTTGCCATCGTGAAGACGCGTGTAATTGGCGATCACGACCACGGTCGAACGATTACACCCGACAACCTTTACATGCTCCGCAGCTCAGGCGACCCGAATTGTGGTCAAACTGACGTCGCGTGTGCAGCATTCTCACCAAGTCAAAAACAGCTCTCCACTCAGGGGCTACATAGAATAAGGCCATTCGTTTAGCAAAGTGAGACAGCACATGCTTGGTCTGTTTCGGCGGGCGCAACCGAATCTCTTGGCGTACACCCGCCAGTACTCAGTGGCGAACTACTCCATGTGTGCGAATGGGTGGTCCATTGCTCGCGCCTGATCTGTGCGTACAGTCGTTTTCGCTGCAGACGCTGGGGCGTGTCAGGAGGGGGGAGGGAGTGAATTAAGCGCAGCACCAAAGCGTTCTCCACTATTTCTTGAAGTGGGCAAGCGACAACAATTGGTTGGAAACGAGCTAATGCCGCGTCAAACCCATCCCCCTGACATGCCACAGGGTCTGCAGCGAAGACGACTATATGCCGTTTACCCAGACTTTGTTTGCCCTCTCGAACTCGTTTCATGCGGTTTATGGGTCAGACCATGTAGACGGAAAATGCCTTTCTGACTGAACTTCTCTGAAAAATTGCTTCACTCTATAGCTTTCCTCTAAATCAGTGATCGCGCTTAACGCTTCAGGCCTCTCCTAAAGATTTCACCATCCATGAAGATGAGTCGGCTGCACTGGCGCTGATTCGTCTGACGAAGGAGCACGATGACGTCACTTTGGTCTGCATAGGACCGCTAACGAACGTCGCGCTGGCTTACAAACTGGACAGAAAGTTCGCCAAACGACTGAAAAAATTGGTTATCCTTGGAGGGAACTACTTTGGTGAGTACAGCGAAAGTCCCTGTCGGATAGAAAAATGCGACTTCCGGAGAGAGGGCGGGGCGTGGCCTGGTGCGCACCCAGGACAGCCTTTTCCGCCAATTACGAGTCTATGAAAATTGGCGGGAACGCCTGCCTTATCTGCTCCAGCCCACGCCCCACAAAACGCCCTCTCGCTTGCAGGGATCATGACTGTATGTATAGGTGAGGATAACCTAGTAGTTACTAATCAATGTCGTTTCCATTTGACTCGTCAACTAATCTAAACCTGGGCTCAGGTGTGGGCAACATGAGCGAGTACTCGTCGGCAGAGTTCAATTTCGGCGCTGATCCAGAAGCGGCAAAGATTGTTGTAGAAGAGATGAGCACTCAGATCACGATTATACCGTGGGAAATCGCATATTTGAATGGTGCTCAGGTAAGTCATAAGAAGCTCAAGTACCAAATGTTCCGTGTTTCGATTTCCGGAGATGGGCACTCTATGAGATTCAAATTATTCAGAAACCTCTTGTGAATACACGTCCAGTGTCCATTTGGTGGGTGCTTGCCGTCCTTAGGTAAGGTAGACCGGCCCGCTACGCAGGATGTACCACTTCTACACCTCAAAAATACCTGATAAGGACGCCCCGATCGTGATGAACGCAATGTCCCGCCCACTGCCCCATGCCACACCGGCGCTCGCTACCCATGGCTATTTGATGATGCGGCTGTTCACTGACTATTTCCTTTTATTCTGACTGGCAAGTGAGAACTCGTCCAAGCAGGCCCTCTCTTCGCCTTGTGCTCGCACGAGTTCAACTCGGCAGTGGGATCCTATATGGGGCATTTCGGGTTGCTACTGTTTTTACCCACTATTGAGCTCATCAGCAGCCTGCCATTTGTGTTTATGTCAAACTATCAACAAATTTTATTCGCAGAACTATCGACTATCGCTATGAATGAGCCAGTAGGTCCGCTCTTTTCAGAATGCTAGCTATTGTACTCGATCTCGCTCGTAACACTGAACGCCAAGTGCACAGCTGTCCATGCATACG